TGTTTGTTTGTTTTCTGTGATTTCTTTCGATGTTTTCTATAAATTTATACAAAACACAGGTTAAATAATTATATTTTTGCCAATTTAAATACAGTAAATATTTTAAAATTATTTACAATAATTGGGAATTTAAAAAGATAAAAAACATTTTACATACATTTTTTTGCATAATTTAAGAGAAAATTGTAAAAATCTAATCATAGAAAACGTTCTGAATATAAATATTAATTTGAAGGTTGGCTGTAATAAAAAACATTAAAAATCTGAACAAATAAGAATTTCTTTTTTCTTTTTTCTTTTTTTTAACATTATTTGAAAATAAAATTAGTTTTCTGAACTAAAATCTGCAGAAAATCCAATTAATTGACCGGTTTTCCTCGTTTTGGTAAATTAGAGACGAGAACCAGTAAAATCACAGAAAGAAAAATAATTATGTTAAAAATAAAAATGTTAAAATATTATTATTTTGCTTCTTTTTAAACAGAATTTCTTCTAATTTTTTCTTTTTTCTCCATGAATTCTTTATTCCGTGATTGAACTGGATTTTATTTACAGTTAAAACCCCTTTTTTTGAATCTTTTTTTACAGTGCGGCTGATCGGAGCGGCCGAGGAGGACGAAGGAGGACGAAGGAGGACGAAGGAGGACGAAGGTGAGCGGCTGATCTTGGCGTTGCGTTCACATCCGCCCCCCCGGTGGGAATCGGGAGCGTCGGGGCCACGGCTCATTATGTGGGTGAGTCAGCAGGTCCATTCCTCTCACTCAGTGCGACGGACCGAGCCGGTCCCTCGGCGCCGGCAGGAATAAACCACTTTACCGCCGTGTGGGCCGCCGGGACGATTCAGAGCAGCTTTAATGACAAAACGCCGCCGCCGAGCTCTGGAGCGCCTCGGCGCCATCAGAGGAAATAAGACGAGGATTTAATACGTTTACTTTCTGCCGTCACACCTGAAACACAAAAAGCTGGCGACAGGTTTCCTTTAAAAATAACTAAAAGACAGAAAAAGAAAAACACGACGGTCCTTAAATCAACCAAATCTGAGCCTCATTACATTCCACCATAATCGCTTCAAAAGGCCTGTTTCATGGTAAAAATCCCTAAAATGACGCCATTTATCAGCCAACAACCAAAAGAAAAACCAGAAGTACCAACTGCATTTTCAACATTCCGACAGTCCTTGAATGCATCATGTGAGACGTCAGGAAAAATGAACCAGATCTCAGCTTAAAATCATCATAATTAGTCTAAAGTCACGTCAAAGGGCCCGTTTCCTGTTTAGAAATCACCAACATGACGCCATTTATCAGCCACAAACGGTTAAAACAAACAGAAGTCAGACTTTAAAGCTTCACTTCAGAGTTTCTTCGATAATTTCGCTGCTCAATTCGTCAATTTTCTGCTTTTTAAAGTCGACATTTCTTCAAACGAGTGACTCTGCATCGATGTAAACGCAGAGTGTGTGAGGCGTTC